AAATTTAAAATTTATTAGAAAACTCTTTTTAACTTTAAGAATTTATCCAAACCCCCTAAAATAATTGACAACTATTTTTGACATGGGTGGGTAAAATTACGCAGATGGATGTTTTTCCCAATGAAAAGTTATAGTTTATACTTTTAGGAGTTTTTTTAACAAAATCTAAAATGTAAAGGTGACTTTCTGATAACCCCTACATTAAGTGAGGTTTTTCTAATATTTTGAAAGTTGTGGGAGGTTGCTGATAATCTTCCAAAGATAACGGTTTTTTTTCCTGATATTTAGCCTACATGCCAGTTTAACTTAATTTAACCTCCAGAATAATCTTTGATAACTCTTACCAAACTTCATTTTGAATTGTAATCTTCTCTTTTCAAATAAATAAAAATAAAGTCTCCAAAGATCTACTTCCATTCACATTTTCTATAATTTATTGCTAGGTTCAGAATTCATCTAAAATAAAAAGGGCACTCTGTTTTATTACTTTTGTAGCTGTCGAATGACGAGAAACAAGCGTTTTGTCTGTGCTCGCACGAATTGTTTTGGTTTGCATGTCAGGTTTTTTTTTCCTGTTTGAGTTTTTTTTGTTATGGTATTGCTTCTAAAAATTAAATTAACTGAATTTTTTTTCTTCCGACCACTACTCCTTCGAAAGTATATAACTTGAGCCGGGTTTTTTTTTTCTTACAAAGGAAATATAAAATAAAGATGTTGATAATTTTATATCAAAATTTAAAATTCAGATTAGATGACTTAGCCACCAATCTGTCATTTATAATATCCTTGTAATATTCTAAAAAGAAAAATAAGAAAGAAGGAAAGGAAACACAACCTCACTTAATAAGTGTGTGGCGATATTTTCAAATTCAAATTAAGGAGAACAGATGATAGTTTTTTTTAAATGTAATGTTAATAATAAATCATAAATTTCTTTTTTACATATAAAGGGGGATTTAGTCCATTTCTTTTTTTCATCTTTATTATCCTTTTATATAGTTCAATTTATTCTCCGGCTCAGATAATAACATATCTGGATTTTCCTTATTTATGATGTCTTTTACTTGATTCTCCTATCTATTTAGGATTGTAGTTCCTATATTAATTTGACAGCCAAGATATATCGTAATAGCAGAAAACCAAGAACCTACTCTTCAATAGATAAAAGGTTTTCATGTGTAACCACTAAGAGCATCTCCAACCATACCCTCCAAATTTGGCCCTCCAAATTGGAATATTCTAGGAATATTCTAATTTAGAGGGTGAAATTTGGAGGGTTGCTCCAACCCACACTCTCCAAATGTTTTTCTTTTTATTTTTTTTGTCAAAAAAGCTATATAAATTCAAGAATGTTGGATATAGTTTACGTTAATAAGTTCATTGTTAGTAATTTATTTGGGAAAAAAATTTATAACATTATAAAGGTGTCGATGAGAGCTTTAAAATGAACCAAATATTAACATTGCAATACAACATATCATAAAAGAAGAAATTCTGAAATAACAGTGAAAGCATACATGTAATTTAAATATTGTAATTTGTGCTTGTACTTTTTATGGAGCGAGTTAAATAGATCCCCGTATTTAAAATTTCATGTCTGATACTTATTTATTTAATTTAAAAATTAATAATTTTATAATAATACTAAAATAAATTAATCTTAGTTTCATTTTAAAGATCTCAACGAGCCCTTTTCAAATATATAATGATTTCAAATATTAGATTAATAATTTTTTAACTATATTTATTTGAAATTAAACATCTAATTTAAATTACTAAAAAGGATGGCAAAGTGGTAAATTTTAAGAAATCAAATAGTTAAAAATGGCAAAATTGTAAATAAAAAATCATGAATAGGGTTATGGAGAGACCCTCCAAAATTTCTCCCCACCCTCCAAATTTGGAGGGTCAAATTTGGAGATCTCCAAATTTGGAGAGTGGTTGGAGAGGTTCCACTCTCCAAATTTGGAGATTTTGGAGATTTGGAGGGTGGATGGAGATGGTCTAACATCTATCCTCTCTATAAAGATTAAAATATGAGTAAACTTCATTATAATTCTAATAAAATTAGGTGGTTGAAACTAAACCCCCAATACCTTTGAAGCTCTCACTAAACCCCGAAAACCTTTTGCCATAAAGATTCCAAATTAGTGTTGTTAGATAATGTGCAATCAAATGACCAAAATACCTCTAATAAATTTCGGAAGAAAACACCAATAAGGTTATAGTTTTGTCACTTGACTCCTAATAACTTTTCGTAGAAAACCCCTAGTAATGATTGTTTATTACTTTTAGGGTTTTGCATGTAATTTTTAGATTTTTTAAGAGGTTGTTTCTATTTTTTAAAATTTTAAAATGCTTATTTGTAATTTTAGGATTTTTAGGGGGCTATTTGTAATATTTAAGTTTTGAGTAGCTCAATTTATTTTTTGAATTTTTAGAACCTTCTTACAATTTTAAGATTTTTTGGAGGTCTTTTAGCAATTTTAGATTTTTAGGGGTTTATTTATAATTTTTATATTTTAAGGGACTTGTTTTTAGTTTTTTTGGAGTTTTCAAGGTAATGTCTATACCCTTAAAAATTTTTAGGGGGTGGTTGTTAATTTTAAGATTTTTAGAAGGTTCTTTGTAATTTTTAGAATTTAAAGTGTTTGTTTGTAGTTTTTGTATTTTTAGGAGTTGTTTGTAAGTTTATGAGTTAATATGCAAATATGAAAGATTTGAGAGGTATTTATTAGTAGGGGTGTGCAAACGGTAGGTCAGGTCGGTTTTTGGTCAAATTTTATCAAATCGACCTGAACCGCCTATAATTTAAAACCGAACCGAAATGCTCCAAGTCGGTTCGGTACGGTGCGGTTCGGTTCATTCGGTTCCGACTTGGGTATGACTTATTCAAATGAAGTAGTTTGAATTTCATGGTAGATGAATGGTTAATTGGCATTAACTTATAAAAAATTTATTCTTACTTAATTATTTACTATACAACCTTTATTTTGCTATGTTAATAATCAAGAGCAAATGCTTTTTTTAAAAAAAATTCCATGAAAATTGAAACTGAACCTTCTTTCAATAACTTAAAAGAGTAATGTAAATGCATAATATTGAAAAGGAAGATTGAATACTCACCTAAAAAATTAGGATAGTCTTGAGAATGCAGTTTCGTAGCTTGTGAAATCAGCTATATATGAAGCTTAGCAATAATCACATGCTCTAGACAATAGCTTGAATGAGGCATGAAAATAATCAAATAAATTAGGCAATTAGAATACCATTTACAAATGACCAGAAACATGTTTGACAAGGTAAAAAAATAGCAAATCATGTTCTTGATAATGCCCAGAAAAATCTATCAGCTACTGCCAAAAATCAAACTGAGAGTATTTGATAGTATCAAATCAAAAACAAAAACAAGTTTAATATCGATGATTTCTTTTAGCCTGGAGAAAATCAAAGTTAGGGTTTTAACATCATCTTCAACTAGGTGTGTATCCAAGGTAGAAGATGGATCTTGAGATAAGACGTTTTGGAGTTGGACGAGATGTCGTCAATGACCTAACTCTTTCAGTCATCGTAGAGTGAGAGGAAAGAGAAATGAAGATGAAACGTCAGAGTTGATAGGGATTTAATCTAAACGGGTTCAAACTTAGTAGATATATGGGTAGCAAATCAATTGTATTAAAAAAATTATTGCTTAAAGACTCGGTCGGTTCGGGTTAAAAACTCTTCAACCCGACCCGAACCGAGCTGAAGCCAAAACCGCACCGAACTATCACATTTGGACTGGTTCGGTCGGTTTTTTCGGTTTGAACCGAACAATGCTCACCCCTATATATTAGCTTTAAGGGACACTATTTGTAATGTCTTTAAGGGATTAACTGCAAAAACTCAAACTATTTTAGTGTTTTTTTAAAATTCCAAAACTTATCGGAGGTTTGAAAAAAATTGCGGGCTCAATGTCAAACATTTAAATTTATTGGAGGCTCATTGAAATTTATCTTTTTAAAATTAAGGAGAGCTGTGTGGCAAATTATTTTTAAAAAAAAGTTAATTGTAAACCACCAATTCCTCCTTTACATATAAAAGAAAAGAGAATTAAAAAAATATGATTATTAGATTTTTTTAAAATTTTTTTGGATAAGTCAGATTTAATTAGGCTTACCAAATTTTTGGTTAACTTTAGATAGATTTAATTTGACGAGGAGTCTACTTATGGATCGAAAATAAGCCCAATTATATAAGAAATTTAATTTAATATAAAAATAATATATGACACATGATATTGTTTTGCATGCCTAGATGTCATTGTTTAGTGCATTTAGGTATACCACCAATTTCTTATTATATATAAAAAAGAAAGATTATATAAGAATTTTAATTTAATATTAAAAATGACACGTGATATCGTTTTGTGCACATAGATATTATTATTTTTTGACTTTAAGAGTATAACCAATTTCTCATTATATATATATATATAAATTTCTCATTATATTATAGTATACATATAAAGCAGTTCATAAAGAGAAAAGATTCGAAGAGGGAAAAAGAAAAAGAAAATCTCTAACAAAAAAGCAAATTTAAAATTTAAAGTATCCAAAGTGCCTCTCCCTTGCAATTAAATTTTAATCCCCCCCCAGTACTCCGCTGAAGGGCTGTAGGTAGGGGTGAGCACGGTTCGGTTCAAACCGAAAAAACCGACCGAACCGACCCGAACCGACCCGAAAAAAGCGGTTTTATGAGTAAGGTGGTTCGGGTCGGGTTGACAATTTTTCAATCCGACCCGACCCGAACCAACCGAATATATTCCCTTGCCTCAAACCCTACCCGTTTACCCAAAGACAAAGCAAGTCCGTTACTAAAAATTACAACGTCAGAGTCTAGTATTTAATCCAAATGGACAAGTTACTTCACTTAAAAACAGTATACATACATGAGCAAGAATAATAAATTAAAGTGAAGTTAAAAAATAAATACATGCTGGCATAGGGTAATAAGAATATATAAAAGATAAATTGAAGTAAAGTTATACTTGATGAAGTTAGAACCGAACAAACCGAACCGAACCACACCGAACCGATTTGCAATGGTTCAGTTTGGTTTTGAATTGTAGGTGGTTCGGTTCGGTTGTTCAAATATTGGTGAAAACCGACCCGAACCGAACCGTGCTCACCCCTAGCTGTAGGGAATTTCCCTTATATCTAATAAAAAATAAACCTACTATCATTCTGGGGCCTTCTCATTATATTATAATAATACAATTGGATGCTCGTCATTTTTCCTCAAGTCCGAGCGCTACCCTTTCACAAAAAAAACCCCCAACCAAAAAAATAGGAACCGCCAACAAGCAAGCCACTCAAGCGCGCAGGGGCAATTGCGTCATTTCAACCGCAACTTGGATTTTTTAATTTATATTTATCGATAGATCTCTCGCCTTCTCCATTTATTAATAAAAAAAAAAAAAAAAGAAAAACCTCTCTCTCTCACCGCCAGACTCCGATCAACCTCCGCCGTCAAAACCCCTCCTTTTATCCGTTACCGTCCCGTTAGCGGCTGGGGTTAGGTTTGCAAACCCTAGTTCGATCTATGGAAAGCTCCGTTACGAGCGGCTCTCCGGCGGCGGCGGCGGCGGGAAACCCTAACGGCGAGCGCGGCGGTGCCGCCGCCGCCGTTCCTGAGCAAGACGTACGATATGGTGGACGATCCGTCCGACGCGACGCGATCGTGTCGTGGGGGCCGAACAACAACAGCTTCGTGGTTTGGAACACGCCCGAGTTCGCCAGGGATTTGCTGCCCAAGCATTTCAAGCACAACAATTTCTCGAGTTTTGTCCGCCAGCTCAATACATATGTGAGCTCATTTGATTCTTTTTATTTTTAGTTTTGTGTGGAATTTTTGGAGGATTTATGGGTGATTTACTTTGTACGTGATCTACAAACTATCCTCATAATAGATTATTTATTAGTGAAGCTTTCGATTCGAGTTATGATTTTGGGGGTGTGAAGAGGAGGATGTTGTCTTGTCTATGCAGATAGGAATTCTGTGGCACCTTAAACTGAAAGTAGGTGTAAATTGCAAATAAGCCCCCTCATCTATATCTTGCGTTGCAGTGAACCCCCTGACCAAGTCATTTACTAGCTCTTAGCTCCCTTGAAATGCAGTTTTCAGCGACACCCCTCTTTCACATGAATTAATCGAGGCTTGGTGCTAATAAATGGGTTGAGGGGAGCTGAGCAATTTTAATAAAGATTAACTGAAGGTAACGTCCCTCTTTCTCATGAATTGGACAGGGCTAACTGCTAATAAATGAGCTGTTTTTGGGATTGGTTGGTTGCGCAACTCAACGGTATAGATGAGGGGTTATATGTGCAATTTACGCTAGAAGTAACGTTTGTATCATTAATACATGCACAGATTCAAATTTTGTGTTGCTAACTGGTCCCTGGGCATTGGAAATTATATCTTGATGAATATGAGTTAGATAGGATTTGGTAGAATCACGAACCTAATGGCCTGTTTGGATAAATGGGAATAGGGTAGAAGGGGAGGTAGGGGAACCCATTCACCATGTTTGGGAAAATTCTAGGAGGGGAATAGTTACCCTTCACTCTCCTAGTTCCCCCTACAATTAATAGAAATTTGTTTCCTCCCAAATTGTGGTGGAATTGAAGGGAAGGGAATTCCCTTACCTTCTCCTCTCTCCTCTCCCCTAATTTCCCTTATCTTCCCCTACCGCCATGAAATGCCAAACACAGCCTAAAGGAATGTGCTGTATTTAGCTCTCTGGGTGCTTATTTTCCCTTAGCAGTTAGTATAGTATCTTGAATTTGCCTTATTTATCCAACTTTTTTGATTGGGAAACCCTTGCCTTCTCATTTTCACTGGCGAAGGGTATAACATCAATTTGAGGAGTTGATGTCTAGTGAACAATTGGTTGTTTCATAGTGAAGCCTTGCCTTCCATAATCAAACATGTTTTTGCCGAGAGGCTCTGATGGTGATGATGATGATATGTTACATAATCTAGCATTATGTGCCGTAGTTTCTAGTTCTTTTTTTCAAATTTTTTTTAGAGCCAGCTTTTCTCTACCCTTCTACAATGTTTGTTTAGAGTATATTGGGAAATATAGAATTTTGGCATTTCAGAAGTAGAGATTAAATATTAAGCAGTCTGTTATGTGTATCTTAAATCCTATGACCAGGATCCATGTAATTCAGTATGCAAGCACTCTGGATAAAATCCATGACAGTATGTTATGCCTTTTTTTCTTGCTATTCAAACTCTCTTATGTATAGTGCATAACAAACATGGTTGTGGCAATAGGATTTACTATCTAGTTAGTCAAGCTTCTCAGATCTCAGACCAGTATGGACCAAAAGTTGCATATTGGAGATATGGATAATTCTCACATATGCAACACCTGCTACTGGTTTATCTTGTGGAGTAATCTTGGATCATATCTTGTGGAATGGTATTATGTTGCCAAAAATGTATGAACCTTTACATGTTTTAAGATCTGCAGTTTCTGCTAAACTTAAGGAATACTGATATACTGCCCCTCTGTATTAGATCACCGGTCACATTTGCTTTTAGTAAGTGACTTGAAAGATGAAACTGGCCAGAAACTCTAGTAATTGATTCTGATTCTTAATCATCTGTTTCTGCAGGGTTTCAGGAAGGTTGATCCTGATAGATGGGAATTCGCTAATGAAGGATTTTTAAGAGGCCAGAAACATCTATTAAAGACCATTACTAGGAGAAAACCATCCCATGTGCAAAGCCAACCTCACCCACCTCAACCACAGAACAGTGCAGTAGCAGCTTGTGTTGAGGTAGGGAAGTTTGGATTGGAGGAAGAGATTGAGCAGCTTAAGAGGGACAAAAATGTACTCATGCAAGAGCTTGTCCGGCTTCGGCAGCAGCAGCAGACTACCGACCACCAGCTGCAAACATTAGGAGACCGCCTTCATGGAATGGAGCAGCGACAGCAGCAGATGATGGCTTTCTTGGCCAAAGCCATGCAGAGCCCTGGATTCTTAGCCCAGCTGGTCCAGCAAAATGACAGCAACAGGAGAATCACAGCTGGGAATAAGAAGCGTCGGTTTCCCAAGCAACGAAGTGAATTGAATGTTGAGAGCTCATCACCTGATGGGCAAATAATTAAGTATCAGCCCTTGATTAATGAAGCAGCAAAAGCAATGTTGATGCAAATTCTCAAACTGGACTCATCACCGAGGTTGGATCCTTTGAACAACTCAGATGGTTTCTTGATTGACAACTTTCCTTCACAACTGAACTCAGTGGAAAACATCAGTTCGACAACTCGAACCTCAAGAGTAACCCTTAAAGAGGTGCCGACAACTTCGGGGATCCCATATTTGCCTTCAAACTCTGGGGTTTCATCTTCTGCTTCGACTCCTTCAACTTCGACTAGTATTGTTGACATGGTCAAGGAGCCAATAGCCCCTGTATTATCTCCAATGCAAGGAGTAGTGACCAATGGGGATTCTGTGAATATTGTACCTGAGAATTATAGTCCACTGGAGTCAGATAATGGGTATGTTCCTAATATTCCGCCATCAGTTGATGAACATGTTCCTCTCGACTTGGATAGTCTAACAGATGATATTGGTTTCTTAAATGATGTGGAAAATGACATGGGAACTCTACCGGGCATTGAAGATCCTTTCTGGGAGCAGTTCCTTGATTGTCCTGTTCCAGGAAATGATGATTCAGATATGCAAGAAAACGGTGAGGTGGTGATAGAAGAGCAGAATGGGTGGAGCAATGCTCAAAACATGGATAATTTAACTGAACAAATGGGTCATCTCACATCAGAGAACAAAAAATAAGACCAAAACATATACCCTATAGTCCCTGTGCTCAAGTGAATTGTCTGAGTGAGATCTCCAACCTGTTTTTGATGTCTCAAATCTTTTGCGTTTTATTCCTGAAAGGCAAAGTGAGTCGAGCAACCTGGCGGTTTTATCCTCTTGTTGTAAGACAGAGAGCTTCTTATTTAGATGTTAATATACATAGCTTATATCGTCCGCTTGCTTCTTGTCCCTATTTCCTTTCTGATGTTTTTTGTGTGGGTTAATCCATCAGTTTAGGTTATTTTACTGCACATGTGAAGTTGTTATAGTAGGCTGTAGCAGGTTATAATCTTTTTGATGAAGCAGCAACCGAGGGCAAAATCCAAAATTTTGCATGAGTTCCAAGAAAAATTATGTGGTATCTGTCCTGTTGAAGAGCATTACTGGTTTCTTGCAGCAAGATTGTACAAGTTCATCTATGCAGTCAATGAAGCATGCTTCTTTTTGCATTAATTGCTGTTGATTTCTTCTGTATTTTCTTTGTGAAATGTCTGTCTATACTGTATCAACATTCTATGGTAGCTCTATGGAGGGGCACTAGANGTGGTAGTAGTATCTTCCCAATTGTTAGAATTTAATAAAAGATTATGTTGGTTGAAACTTATGTGCCTTTGGCTGTTGTGGGCAATAAAGGCTCTTAAAAATTCAACTTTATAAAGATGCAGCACCAGCATTTCTTCCTCAGAAGAAAGCTCCAACTCCTCTAGTGTATTGTTACTTGAATCCCCACAAACCCAAATGGTGATTTTCACTTCTTCTTTTTTCCCCCTTCCTTTTCTTTCTTTTCGTGTGATTCTTTCATGAGTAATTTTCCTTAGAAATACAAGTTTCTTCTGTGCTTTCTGAAGTTTATCATGTTTAGATTCC